GATTTTCTTACCTTTACGTCCGAGAAGTAGGTTTTCAGCATATTGGAACTTGGGTACCGGGTGTAAAAGAACATGAGCTTGGCCTTTTTCAAGTGGTTCGGTGACAAGCCTTCCTGCATGTAGGATTGAATTAGTAAAGGAAAACGCGGTTCTTGAGAAAGCCGTTTCTGAACGTACTAGCGAAGTGCCACCTTAAATACTCTACAGTTCCCCAGACTACAGGAGAAAATACTAACATTTAAATCGCTGCCCTGTAATTTTCTGCAAAATAGCTAAACGAGGGATGCGAGGCCATGTAACTTAAACCCTGTATTTCCTATCAGTTTTGGGGCTGGGGCTCGGGAATCTTGCAAGTTTACGGCTTTTGTACCATATGTATGTTCACTTGTTGCTAAGGAAACAAATGCACGAAGCATGTGCCGCAGAAAACTTATCGGAAGCTTTTCTCCCTCTCCTTTGCAATTCCAGCTAAAGTCTCTCTTTCTCTCAGTCTCGTGCCACTCGCACGAAATAAAGCTAACGCATGTGAGACAATCGGAGGCGCTTTATCATTCTGAGCAATGTTTTATACGGGCAGTACGTTTCACCTGTTTCATTTGTGTCGATAAATTTTAACATCTTGAGTAACGCTCTCTAATCCTGCTGTTGCTTTGCTCCAGTGGCTGCCTTGCAAATCAAAGCGAAATTTGTAATAGGCAGAGCCCCTCTGCCGCTCAATCCCCCCGCCACAAACTTGTCGCCTCCTGATTTACACAGTTAACTCCTCGGAGAACGAAGCTGTATTTGGGGCTAACGAATCAATAAATGCAGGCTAGCCGATCAATAAATGGCCACTTACCCTATAAGGCAGCCTATTTATCCTGGAAACATCATTACCTTTTAGATCTGTAAACAGAAGCAACTAAAAGAGTTCCCAAGGGAATGCGAAGCTAACCATAACAATCTCGGCTTGCTGATTTTTCTCCCGGCTTCTTGGCTCTCTTTTGTGTACTGCGTGCTAGGACGGCTCTGGTCACATCTGTGCCGCAGGCTGGCCCTGCCATTTCCTCAGCAAATTAATGGCTTTATAATTTATCAGAAATGAAGATGCACGTGGAGAAAATCAATGTGGCCCCCACAAGGTCAATTAAGGGTTCTTCCCAGAAGCTTCTCTAAGGACTGTTTCTCCTAAACACAATTGTTGAAAATTTCACTCGGTTCACACCTTATGGTGGGGGAAGGTCAACCAAGTTGACAGATGCGCTGCAGCCAAGGTGCCTCTTCCACCTTACGGCCAGGCGCACGTCAGCACAGAACTTCTCATTCCAGGCCTCGAGACAGGAAACCCAGACTGATTTTTGTCAGCAGGCTACCGATGATTAGCTAGGCTTTTTCAGCAGAATCCCTTCTTCTCTAATTCGTGAAATCTGCTGAAACCCTCTCCCTTTATTTCAGCTACAATGTTCATTTTCAGATTGGAAGAATGTAGCATTTAAAAAAAAAAAGTCATTGACAATGTTAGTTTAAAAACCTCTTATTATCTGGAAGTACACGGAAAACGGCTCAGCTGAACTTGCACTTTGTTTTAGATGCTTAATGATTACAAAGAAGATAATTTATGACTGACATACTTCTTGTGCCAAGAGAAGAGTTGAAAGAACCTCCAGTTACCTCCATTAGACTGATAGAGAAGTCTAAAAGAGCATTACACTCTGCAGTGCCATCTGTCAAAATACGTAAGTGAAATAATAGTAGCAAGCTGTCACCTATTGCTTAGTGATAAGAGTTTTAGACAAATCAAAACTTCTACGCCAGAAATCCATTTTGTTACGCGATCCTTCCAGCAAAGTGGGGATCCAAAGGGAACTCCAATAAGTAAAAGAAAAAAAAAAAAATCCTAAGTCTCCTTAATTTGCAATTCCTCTGAGGCTGACAACATGTTAATATCGGGTTTGGCGTATATGCTCTTCCAATGCAAGCTCAAAGATGGACTTAAACTTTCAAAAAAAGCTCTCGTATTTGTGGATTTAAGCATATTAGACAGTTGTCTAAGCATTTGGATTCCTTCTGCATTTAGGATTTTTAAATATTTTCTGCTCTAATGCCAGAGGATATTGATATTGAATGAAACATGTATTAAAAGATGTTCTGAGACTCAAATTCCCAGAAATCCATTTTTTATTAAAATTATACTTGTTCTTAAGCACTTGGCAGCCTTAAAGCGATATCAAATAGGCAACAAATCTCTATATCTTGAGCCTAAGGTTAACGCTTTACTGTGATAAAAGATATGATCTGTAATAATCTAGCAAAAAATAGATAATGACAGACTTAAGAGCTAAGAATTAGATAACTCATTGCTATTTCAGAAAAAACTGAACTGACCAATTGCTTAATTTCCTTTTTAAGTGCTTGGGCTGAAAAGCAACTGTTCTTCCAAGAAAGCACTAGCTGTTTCCAGGATACTTACACACGCACAATGACTCATGATGAAATAGATTCAGTAAACATACAGCTGTACTGAACACGAGCTAAGCCCCATTCAAGGCCAGGAAAGAAAACGAGCACAAATAAATATTAAGGAGGTAAAGGGAGGAGGGGTGCCGAATGGAACGCAAACAAGCTCTGTCCCAGCAGCTCGTGTGGCTTGCCTCAATTCTCTTAGCTATAGCTTTGTGAAGACAGATGACATTCAATTCTATGGGTAATGCAAAATAGACAATAACTGCTGAAACTTGAGCCAGCTGCCAGGTGTAAAAAAAAAAAAAAAAGGAAAGAAAAAAAAAGGAGAGAAAGAAAAGATGATAAATCCATAAATTAATGAAAGACATCTGCTCGGGAACATAAAAGATCAGAGGAACAGTGTACTGCAGCTGAACCTAAAGCGGTGTTCAAACAACCTGAGCGTCTCAGCATCGTGCGTTTACACAGTACAACGCAGCCTCACCTAACACAGCACCAGCAGCAAAAAGGCAAAACGCTAAGAAATAGGAAGTGAAAGACTGGGAACGAAACATATACGCGCCCTTGTGTGTTTTAACAGGAGAAGCACAGGGGTGGCACTGCACAGCATTTGACTCATTCGCACTTCAATCCTCCCAGGTAACGCTCCTCTTTTGCAAAAATATTTTTCCGTGATGCTCTTTCACTCCTCTTACTCTCAGCCCGAGCTCCCACAAATGCTCTAACAGGCTTTTCTAGCCCACGCATGTGTTGAGCTGAAGGAAAAGAGGTAAGAATAGGCTGCATCAGGTAGAAAATCTGCGCTAGCAGAGCCAAGCTGCTCCTTAGGTTACACCTCAGGTGCTTTTAATCAGCAAAGCTCCAAATCGCTGTATCTCAGAGCATCTTCAAGACCCTTTAAAGAACGGGCTGGCTGGAAAGTATTCGTTCATCCCCCAGGTTTTATCAACAGCACAGAGTTATCCAGCTTGCTGTACAATCGCTCATTTTTTTGTAAGTTTAATTAGTTTAATTCTAGTCAGATGTAATAACTCCTCATTTCAAAATGTTGTAATTCACTAATTACAGCTTTCATATATTGGGACTGTGAAACTCATTCCAGTTGGATTGGAATTCTGTTTAAAAAGAAATAAATTGTAGAAAGTTTCACTACTGTTTTAAAGCCCTCCTGCCAGGGAGAGCACGCTCAACTTCTTCACCTTTACAGATGTCTTAACAGCACACTAACTACTGTTGTGCTTCAGTTTTGATCTACGCAAATGTTTTGGGACTGAACAAGGCTATTTTTCTTGAGATGCAAAGAGGATGCATGACAAAGGAAGAGCATGCAGAAAAACAATTCGCTGTCTGTTTCTTTTGGAATTTGAATAAAACTTAGTATTTGATTAAACAGATTAGTTTGCAAAGATAGAGACTGCATTCATGACCAAGATGGGAATTCATGCTGCAGGTGCATCTTATCTTGTTTAGCAACATACGCAAACATTAACTATTTCCGTCTGCAAGTCAGCAAAGAATGATCAGATACATTTTCCAGGCGTTGGTTAAAAAAAAAAAAAAAGGCAAAAACCAAAACCCCAAAACCCAAAACCCAGGCTGGTTCAGTGTTTTAGCCTACTACTAAAACCTGAACTTGGCTGTATCAGCTAGTCTTATGTTCTCATCCTGGCTGTATTGTCCGGGAAAACAGACGTTGCTTTCCGCAAGGAAGAATGATCTGCTTCTCTCAAGAAATATATTCCCTACATATGCACATTCAACCATGTAAAATAAAAGTGCCACAACAGAATTGACCACAAACCAACCAACCTCCGTACTGCACCTTTCCCTGGAAACTGCAAGCTTCCTGGACAAACAAGCCGCTGCTAGAAAAAAACATCCATCCCCACAGCTGCGCCGTACACCAGGGTGCACGTTGTGTAGAAGTGCTCTTTAATAAACCTGCCTGTCCCAACAGGTCTGTATCTAAACCCAGACCAAACTGCAGCCTGCCATAGCGTCTAGGTGGGCAAGTCAAAGCGCTTTCACAATGGCGGGGGAAGGAGTGAGGCAAGGGAGGAGGGAGGGAGTCACTCCACTCAGCGTTTCCCCCGGCTAAGCCTGGGAGCGGCGGGGGACTCTCGCACCCCTGTTTCAGCAGAAGCAATGAGCTCCGTTAGCGACCGCCAGTGAGACTGAGCAGGGGAAAGGGGGAGAAACGGCAGGGGCGAGGGAGAGATGCTCCATGGGTGGAGAGGATCACGTGCAGCCCCGGAACCACTCCTAGTTCACACGCTTGGCATTTTTCACTTCTGCTCACTCCTCTCCCAGGATGGGAGAACTACGTTTATACAAAAACAATTAGTATGCCACTGTACTGTTTGGTAGAAATTACTTAATTGCTCTGGCCTGAGCCTTGCCCTCGGCTGCCACTCCTGTTGACCTCAGGACTGCTTTCCAAGCACGGCAGCTTGCATTTCAATATGCACGAGAGATTTTCAGTTCGGATCTCCAAAAGTAACTGGCAGTAACTGCGAGTGATGCTGGATGTAGACCGACTCCTCTGTTTTGCCATACGACATATACGGTGAGGAGAAGACTTCCCTGCTACCAATGCAGCAGAGAGATCCTCTTTTGGGAAAGAGGTCCCTCAAACATCAACGTCCGCTACCAGCTGGCTCTCGAAAACTCCAACAGCTAAGGCAGGTGCTTTCAAACCAGGAACACTTCCCCCTGTAGAAATGGGACTATTCATACAGGTCAGACAGCAGCAACTCTTCACTCAGACTTGACCTGTTAGATCCAAGACTGGTGGTGATGGGCTCTGGACCTGCGGCACCTGCCTTCGTCCCAGTGGTGCCCACTGCCATGGGAGGGATGGGAAGTCTAGGTAACCAGCGGGTCTTGAGCCCTGCCAGCACCCTCCCGAGGATTTAACACGTCTACAGAAAATGTGCTTAAATTAATCTAAAACCAGCAGACTTATTAATCGCCTAGAAGATACCCAGTGATGGGGCACAGCCCCGGGCATCTGCCTTCACATGATACCCCTGGAAAGGGGACAAGTTCCTCAGCATCTCTACCATTACTCAGGGAGGGACAGAGTTATTCAGTCGCAATCACTTTCGTCAACTTGGGAATGAAATTAGCTGCATCTAAGGCTCTGTGCTTGTGCTGTTGCCTTCTGCTGGGGTCTTGGAGCTGGGAAAAAACGTCAATCTACCCTTCATGCAAAATCCTCAATTTTAGCATTGGATAGACATGGTATTTTATTCACTTTTAATACGACTGTACTTGGAAGAAAAATCTTTTGACCTAAAAGCACATTAGGGGAAAAGATGGAAGCAGTGGGAGATGTTATTGCTAAAAAAGAAAAAAAAAATTAAAAAATCTAGTACTAGTTTCCAGGAAAAAAAAAAGAAAAGATCATTAATATGTCTGGATATGCCTAAATAAAGGCAGAGATTGATTTTTTCCCCTAACTAAAGCCTGCTATTGAGCTAAAAAGAGAGATTTTATTATCATCTTTTTTTTAAGCAGGGGAAGTGTCCTGTAAATTGAATACAGCTGAAGTTTTATATTTAATTGTTCTCTCTAGCTTTCCAAAATAATTTGCTTTGTGTATGTTAGGACAAAAGATTTCTGTGTATGGCTGAACAGAGGTTAATCATGCATAGCAGGCAGCTGCACAAGGGCTGAGGAACAGACCTCTGGGTGGGGGAAAGAACTTGATGCAGCCTGAATATATCAGTACCTGTGTCTTTTGTGCTTCGTTTCCCTTACGTGCTTGAGAGCTGAAGGCTCATGATGACCGGACCGTGGCTCTCTGTGAGCCCCAGCCATGACACCGTTAACACAGGTCATGTGTTGGCCTGGCAGGGGAGGGAAAGGAGGCGGCCGTGGCTTGAATGGTTTTCGGCCGAGGGCGATGCCCCCTCGATCACCTCCCCGCCTGGGGAAGGACCTGCCAGCCCAGGGAAACCCACTGGCACCCAGGTCATGGGCTTGGCTCGCTTTCTGACCCCACGGGACAGTCTAAAAGGCTTGGGTAGGGCCGTTGGCTTTTTTACGTGAACACCGTTGCTGAAGGAGCGCTGTGAGTCAACACCCGGCATTTTATTTGGCCTCGCCAAGCCCCCCGCCCGCTCCCCTACGAGCGCCCTGCTCCCGCAGCACCCAGGGGAAGCCCAGGGGCACGGGCATGGCCCCTCGTCCTCTCCCACCAGCCACCGCCGGGTTATCGCTCATCTTTCGAAAAGGATATTGCACTTCCCGAATAGGGTGAGATTTCGGACATGTCTTGCAGGTCGCCGCACTCGGACTTTATAAGGGACAAGGAGAGGCCCTCGGCGGCGCTGGGGGGGTGGGCCGGCGAGCAGGGGTGGTGGTTCATGTGGTGCGACGACATCTTGGTCCTCAGGCTGGTGGTCTCCCGCGTCAGGTCGAGGGATTCGGGGGAGGCGCGCTCTTTCCCCGGGAAGGAGGCCGACGGGGCGCCCAGGGGGCTCTGGAAGGGGTAGGCCATGAGGGGCAGTGGGAAGGGGTGGCGGAAGGAGGAGGTGGAGAAGCCAGTGGTGGCCGAGAGCGGGGACTGGTGCAGGGAGGCGTGGTGGCCGCCAGCCGGCGGGGCCGAGGCGGATTGGTCGGAGGAGTTTTTGCGGACGACGAGGGGCAGCGCCTCAGTTTGGTCAGTGGCGCCGGGCATGGGGACGCTGCCGAAGGTGTCGAGGGGGTTGGGAATGATGACGTCCCCGAAGCACTGCAGGCGCTGGTTGGCCGTGTGGAAGTTGTGGTTCTCCCCGTTGACGGCGAACCTTGCCTGCGGGATCTGGAGAGGTGGGAAGACCTGAGGAAGCTGGCGGGAGGGCTTGGACGAGAAAACTTTGACCACCGTGTCCACAACTTGCGACATGGCGGTGTTCAGCTCCTGCTTCAGCGTCTCAGCCAAATGTTTGCCTTCGGGGTGGAAGGCATTTGGCCCTTGTTCCTTCTCCTTGGGACCTTCTCTTTTCGGTTTGTTCTCTGCGATCTCCTGCTCTCGGATGAGGGCCCGCGCCCGGTCGATGAACTGCCCCGGGTCCAGCTCACACATCTCGTTGTCCGACCTGCCGACAGAGTCGCCGGCCCTCGCATCCATGGTTTCGGAGCGCATGCTGTCTTCAGACAGGTTGCCATCTTCATCATTTTCGGAGTCGGTGCTGTCATAGATCTGGTAGAACTTCTCCTGCAGCTGGCGCAGCTGCTTCTGCATGTCCTCCAGCTGCTGCTTCAGCTGTCTGCGCTCCTCTCGCTTCTGCTCTTTCCTCGCTGAAACCAGCTGCTGGAAACTCTGCTGCTGCTGTTGCGGCAGCTTTTGCTTGCGTTTGTTTTCTCTGTAACTTTCTCGGGGACTCACAGACTGCGGAGCTATTTCTCTTTCGTTTTCATTGCCCCTTAATGCCACGCTGGGGGAATGGCTCATACCCCGAATTATATTCTCAACCCGGGCGCGTTTAGCTCTCAGGTGCTCGTCACATAACCGATCCACATCAAACTGGCTCATAGTCGGCCTGCCAAAAGGGGAAAGACACTCTTGGGGGCTGTCTCTTGAAGAGTTGCTGCATACATCCTCCTGATGTACTTCTGAGCCTGTACTAGAGAGACCGCTGGCTTGGAAACTGGGCTCCGTGCCACCATTTTTGTTCATGTTATTTTTCAACAGCTGGGAAATTATGGTTGCTCCTGGAAAAGGCATCATGGCATCTTCATATGAGTTCGCCCTCTTCAGCAGCTTGCGGAGTACATTTGACTTTTCCCCATCTGCATGCTGCACCACTGAATACTCGACATCCTGCTCTGAACCTTGGGGATTCATGGCACTAAAAAACGTTGCTCTTGCCTTTGCAAAAAATGCAGATGCTGTCCCTACCGTCCTTTTCACTCCAATGTCAACTCTTCTTCTCTTGGTTTGCCTGCTTAAGAGGGCTGTGCTGTCATGGTCAGGCATCACTGGACTGTTATTGTGCCATCTTCAAAAGCTTGTCAGCTGGGCTCAGCTCAAGAATCCTGGGACCCTGGCCAACAGAACAAAAGGACTGATGAATCATTTTCTTTAAATTTCTCCAAATTTCCTGACCTCAATCCTGAATAAAATGCAAAATGCATAGGCTCTGGGATTTATGGCACATTACAATTATTGCAATTTATTATGCACTCTGCTTGAAATGAAACATTTTTAAATATTTCTGCTCCACTGGTTTAAGATGGATTAAGATTTAAAAAAGCAAAAACTGCTTAAGCACCAGTAATATGATTCTCTTGCACAAATGCCTAAAATGATACTGTTTATCTTCAGAAGAAAGAGTAGATTAGAAGAACACAGCCTCTGACAACCAATTGATTAAATTTAGGGCATTGAGATACATGTTACAAAAGAAGATGAAAGTACTCCTTATTTAAGATTTATTGTTAAAACAAGAAATTGTATAAAATTTGGATTAAAAAAATTCAATTGCGATGTAAAAACGGTAATTGTAGTTTTGCTTTTTAAAGAGAGATAAAACTGGTAAATAAACATTCGAAGGTCAAAACAACAACTTTCACTTAATTGTAGGTAGGATAGTGTATGTGTACGTGAAAGGCAAAGAAATCATAGACACATTTAGGCTTACACTGGGGGAAAAAAAAACCTCTCTTAAATCATTAGGGAAACATTTATTCAGCAAAGCAAAAATGCATTAAAATATTTTATGGTCAGGATTATAATATTTACAGAGATTTGATCAAAAAAAGGCCAAAATGTAGTTCGCTAACATAGCCTCGTATGTACCAGTGACTAGCCATGACAGTGTTTTGAATTCCCCATACATTCCTTCCCTTTTCTCAACTTACATTCTCCAAGCCCCGCTACCAAAGGCTGAAGATTTTGTATTTCATACAGTAAAATACATGACGTTAAATTTTTTGCATAGCAGAAACGAGGCATGTTCAGCGTCACATCTCTCTGCTTTAGAAAAATCTCCAAGAACAGTATCTCGAATGCCCAGTGAAGCCCTTCTTACACATAATATTTTGAATACACCGAATCTTATTTCCTGTGACATGCAGAAAAGATGAGAAAAAATACGGAAAGATGAAAGAAATAACATCAATCAGCTGCGTGAGAAAGGAAGATACCTTCTCTTTATATGAACTCTCATTGTTTCCCAGGAACACAGCATAAAAAGATAACACACTTCCTTGCATTTTGTAAAAGGCTCTTGACATAATTTGTGACTTATTAACTAGTGATGCTAAACTCACATTGCACATAAAGCACTAGACGCTCTTTCCTGTTTCTTAAAATTTAACACTGAGGAAAATTAAAATATTTTTCATGCGACGCTTATCTAATATTAAACTTTACATTTGCTTAACAGAGCACAATCTTCACAATAACAGGGTATATTGCCAAAGGCAGCATGCAGACTTTTTGGAATTGCTCCCATCTCTTTCGGTTCACCTGTAAAAACATCTACGTGCTCCCTAGGACTGCATCTGTGGCTAGTTTTAAAGAATGACTATCCATGCAAATAGGCATAATTTCAGCATGAAATAATCTGTAAAATCAGTTGCTTAGTTTGCAACCAGCATGAAAAAAAAAAAAAGCTTTTAATACTTAGAAACATTATGTTTATTCTGCAGCTTTTGCCCACGTATTCTGGATGTACTAAAAGAATTTTCAGAGATTTAGTGTCAGAGACAATTATGCAAGGGACGTGATGTTTGTTTACAGTACTGGCTCCTCGCATACAGGAAAGCAAAGAATGATAAAAAAAAAAAAAAAAGTCACGAATTCAGACGGGAAATCCAGAGCCTTACGCTGCTATCAGGACACTGCCTTCTGAGATCATTCCTTGTCAAGAAGCACATTAAGCAAGTGAAGTTTGGAGACCTCATGAGAATAATAAAATAACAAGGAGTTCTGTTGCAGGGGCCGAATTCTACCACCGGCACACCAGGTAGCATCCCACCCTGCAAGCAACTCCCCTGGAGTCCAGGGATACCAAAATCCTCTTACGTGCGAGTGGTAGGATCAGGTCCTGCTGGGCAGTATGTGTCGTAAACGACCGTCTCCTGCTTTCTCTCAATTAATGCAAATGGAGTTTTTCAAGGGGCAGAATCAGGCTCTTACAATTAGGTCTTCAACTAAAAAAAATCTGAGGAGTTGGGATTTCAGAAGGGTTGTTTTTGTAAATAAACGGCCAAGTCCTTAGGGGGTGGAAAGGGGCGACCACCACCGGAGATTTTAAGCAGGCGATACTGGCACAGAACAAACCAGGGTCAAGGTTGACCTTTCAGTCTAGTGGTGTTCATTTGAAAGCGATATAAACTAATTGCAAGATAACCGAAAGAGCTCTTGCTTACTGCACGTAAGATATTCCAAAGGCATTCTCCGTAAAGATAATACTTGCCAATAGGAAAAAAAAACAACCCACCAACACTGAAAACCTTCATGCTTTTCCTTCCTTTTCTGTAGTCAAGCTATGCTTGATTGAGATCCAGCAATAAGTTCCCAGACTCACACCAAAAACCTCATGTCAGGTTTCAAGTTTTGCACGTTTCCCAGCAAATTTGAGGTGCCTGACCACTGTTTCCCTCTCTCTTGCCCAATCCCAACCAAGGACACGCATGGGGAGGGCTTGCTGTACCCTTGAGTCAGCAGCTCAGGAAATAGGCTGTCCTGCGCCAGGTTGGAAGGTCATTGCCACGCATCCTTCCTCCCCAGTGTCCATTTTCCTCTCCCCGAGCCCCCGTACCAGCAGCTGCTCGCCAGCCCATTCCTGCCACCACAAACATGCGGCAGGAGGTGCTCCGGAGCGATGCCCCCTCCTTCCCTCGCTGGAAGCTGAAAGCATGGGAGTTATCGTACACTTAACCTGGGTATTAAGCAACGTCTCTCATTTGCCCTGGCGTTATCCCGAGCCTACGGACCGCCAGCTTTAAGGCTTACGTGCCTTTCGGCTTAAATATGAGAAATAGTTCTACTTTAGCCTGACAAAACAGAATGAATGCTGAACAGAGGGTTAACATTTTGGTCTCGGAGGACCAAAACCAATTCACACCTCAAGGGAAGTGGAATGGCACGTTCAGCGGGATGCAAAATCCCAGCCACGAAGGCAGACTTTGATGCTGATCAGAACTGGATAAATAGGGAACTCTTGGGGGGAAAAAAACGTAATTAGGAAGTTTGTGTCCTTTACGTAGTACCAGTACTTTGGCTGCACATTGTCTCAAAACTATATTTCATACATCTAATGTCTCTGTACAGCTATCCAGAAACATATAGCTAGAGAGCGAGCTCAGGTTGTCAAGATATACGTAGAAATCTTGAGAAGTATCACTGCTTTCCGAGTTACGGAGTTTTAAATTTGTGAAGGTTATATTTGCTTTACACATCACTTTTGACACTCCTTGCATGCCAAGTGTAGTTTATGTTAAATTTACCCTCCACATCTCGAGCCTCAACTCGCATGATGCGGCTTTCTCAGAAACCGAGTATTTTCCATGCCCATGTAACTAAAAATCATACCAAGGCCCTCAGCACGTTCTAAGTCCATCCATAAACATAGCTTGCAGGATTTTATTTACAAATTTACTTTCAAAACTTTTGTTTGAGGAGATACGATTAAAATGTAGCTATGAATAACCTCTTAACAGCACAGCAGCTACAGCCGGGTTTATTTCATATCCATTTGATATGCATTGACATTTTAACCGGAAACAGATTAATTTCTAGGTATCCAAGAGTTACTGTTACCAAACCTTTGGCTCGAACGGTCTTTAGAAAGGAATACGATGTCAGGTATTCAACTGCACTCATTACAAATAAAACAGTTTCTGCAATCAATTTTGTTAACTCATCTTGATCTCCAAAGATGCTGACCATTTTCTCCTAGATTAAATCGTACACCTGTGAGATACAAAGGAGATGTAAATTCAAACTCACCCTCCTCAGCCACTCTGAAGGACCCTAGCCTAACCTAAACAGCCCTTAAATACGCAGCAGTAAGGTGCTAAACTTGACGAATATTCATGGGTGAATTCAAGGAGATACCAGTTTATGGAGCTGAAATTGTTCCTATCTTTTCACAAGCCGACTACTTTCTTTGGTCCAGCGTCTGCCTGCTTCATGTCAGCCCGTTATGCCAACACCACACAAGAAATTTAACACGCTTCTGCTAATAGAAATATTTAGATCTTTCACTCTAAAGCGCTACACGGGGTATGGCTTTGCCAGAATCAGCCAGGAAGTGCAGGATGGAAATTATTCCAGTCAACAGCATTTCACGCACAAAACCACAGCTAAAATCCAAAGAACAGATTACATCTATTCACCATAGGTCTGTTCAGTGCTAAAATCACGTTAGCCACTAATGAGAAAGTACGACCTTTTTGTACGGCTCTGACACAAGTTTTCTTGGGAGAAGGGGGTTATCTAACTCCCTTAGCTGAGACGTCTAATCAAAGAATTTGAAACAAGGCAAGAAACGACGAGCAACTATTTGTGCAGTAGCAACTACTTCATTAGGATTTCTCCATAAGGAGAAGTAAAAATTAGAGCCTGATTTACTTCAAAATTACGCTACCTGCTCTTTAGCCTCAAAGAAAAAAGCCACCCTCGTTTTATGAACCTGGTGCTACCCAGGGCCCAATCCAGCAAGGTATTCAGCAATTCCCGTGAATGCCAAACATCCTCAATGCAAATCGACTGCAGGGAGGACTGACAGAGCTCACTAACAGGAGGGATTCGGCATCTCATTAGTTCAGGCCTTTATTTTGGGGAGATGCACGGCCCTCCATCGCGTATCCGTGCTCGGCACTGCTTGAGGAAACAGATTCTTTGAATGAGAAAAAGAAATCGAGCTGCTCAAGGTAGAAAATTGAAAACATTTTCCTCCTCTCAAGCCAGTTTGGTCCTTGTTATTTCGCTGATCGTGAAGAAAATAACTCACATGGTCTCTGTGCAGAGACAATACTGAAACGTTCGCAAGATTCCTACTACCAACTCAGCCCAAGTTTTCCAAGATTTTTT